CAATGTGAGCGGAAATGCCAGCCTTGTTTGCCTCCATTTATTGTGATCCTGAATAAACACAAATTTATATTCAATGTTATCATACATGTATGTCACTTTGCACTTTCCGGAGCATTACTGTACATAAGGTCACAACCCAAAAGACACTCACAAAAAGTTGAACCTGGTGGACTCCCCGTTCCCAACAAGAACAACTACATGTACCCCTAAGCCAGACAATCATTACATTAAACCAGAGAGGTGAAAGAAAGGAGTGGAATCAAGCCGCTTTCCTTTGACCCCATGCTCCAAGCCGCCGAAAAGTTATGCGCTAATCTGCAACTGTTCACCAGTTGGTGAGATAAAAGAACGCATGAAATTTCAGGATCTACAATTTTTACATCAGAATTTTGAATTGAATTTCTTTATTGTCATGCACAAAATAAAATGAAGGCATTAAAATCGTTTTACAGCTCACATTTGTATAAATATAACAATACATTAACATATCATAGACAGTAACTACAAATAACATAAATAACATAACAATGTAATACCTCTCTGTTGAGAGCCAGGGGAAATATTTGATTATTTGTACTCCCCTGGCTCCCAACAGACAATACTAACTTAAATAAATAGCAGAAAATGTACATGAAAATGGTATCCCCGCAACTGTTCACTGTCCCTTTCAATGATTCCTTATCAATTGTTGAATGTGTAATGGTAGAACAAGCAAAAACAAACTTGTGTAATTTCTTCCTTTTTCCAACTGCAAAATTACAGAAAACACGCATCAGCAAACTTAATGTTGTCGAAGACTGTAAATTATGGATTACGTAACGGGACATTATAACATGCACAAAGTAGCACATTATCTTAAAATATCAAGTTTTTGTCAGGATCTGATTTTCTTTTACCAACTCTGGCACACGAATGATAGGAAGGGCGGAGTACTAAATTTGAAAAGTTGTTTGATGCACTATCCCCCCAATACAATAAATGTTATAATTTACACTGAAATTTTTCCGGTAATTTGATATCTTGTAATATGTGAAACTGGTGCCTGGCCTCCAAAATTCCCCGCAGTGGAAGCGTGGCTCGGAGCATGGAAATTTAAAGCCAAGTGAAATGTTACACATCCCATTGTTACGCCATAGAACTCAGCTCACAAATGCGTTTGAATAAATTACAAGAGTTTCCACCCCTTTCTTTCACCTCCCTGATTAAACTCTCCCCAAAGACATACAGACAGTTCATACAAGTTACAACATGGAAAGCCTTTGCCCTGATTGCACCAAGTATCCAAGATCTTCTTCACCTTTTATATGCCACACAAACAATCTCCCAGTGCCACATTACATTTTTGTCATGGGATACATGGTGATATACACCGATTCGGGCGACTTCTGGTGGAAGTGCGCCCTCATAAGGTGACGCCATACCTGGGGGGCGTCTGACTGCAGCTAGCTAGCTTACATTGCAACGGGTATGCTATACCTATACCGAACCTCGCCCAGGCCGGCCAGGGTCGCTGCTCCGCTAGCTAGTAACCGCTCTCGAGCTCTCTGTACTGTCAGCTGGATCGGAGAAGCCCCCCAGTTATAGCGCCGCCACCGGCGGGCAGGTACATAAACCCTCCAAACCGAATCGGTGTATACTAAAGGTCCAAAGATTATCAACTGTTTCGAGGGCAAGATAATAATACATGTAATAAAATTCAGCTTTTATATAGCGCTTAATACATCTCGGATGTCTCTAAGCGCTTTGTACTATTACCCCAGTCATTGGATTCAGTGCTTGCCCGCACACACTATGTGCACAACCTCCACTCCATGGGGAGCATTCCAGCCAGACATTGCTTGACGCTCAAAAACTGTTTGACCAACAATGACAGTCGCAACCTACCGGGTACCCATTTTAACACATGGGTGGAGAGTAGCAGGTGTAGGTTAGTATCTTGCCAAAGGATTTTCGTGCCGTGTCTGGAATCGAACCCTCAACCAGATTACTCTATACCAGTGTTTTAAAGGGGGTGTCATGGAGCTAATCAAGTTTGGTAATGTTGGTAAGTTTGCAAAGCCACTGTGTTGCACAAAACAATCCTTGAGATTATCAGACAGGCATCTTCTTATCCTTTATGCCTCAGTCACACCTGACCGACAACAAAACCAGAGGAAACTAAATGCTACATTATTCTAAATGGTAAAACATTGGTTGGTTTAAAGTAGTCACCCGAAGAATCAAAAGTGTTTTGAATTGATGCAAAATCCATATCATTGCGAAGGGGAATATAACAACTTCCCTCTTCAAAATATGTTTGGGGCCTGCAGTAATCATCTCTCAAAAATGTTAATTTTTACTTTTTTGAGATCCAGATATTCTGCTTTCAGAGGTCCTTAGAGCGTCAAGATTCATGACGTCTCATGCGAGACACAGCTAGCCAAAAAATTGACTAGTTTACGCCTTTCGGTTTCCCATGATATCTACAGTACAGTGTATATGATTTTTCGGCAAATTATTCATGTTTTTCAAGAGAAAATCTTCCATTCATGTATAATTTGTCTTCTTGTAAATTTTCTTCGAGTGACTACTTTAAAGTCAATTTAGAGCACATAAAGCTCATGCATACATACTTTAAAAGGTTCGATGAAGACCCCCTTCTAAAATAGTTTGTGAGGAGCCCTATTTTATACCTCAGTCACACCAGCGTGACAAGTACCATGGCAACTACAGACAAAACTATAATAATAATAATGAAAACGTTGCTTATAATGCGCGTACCACCGAAGTCTCTAAGCGCTATAAATCTTACATTTTCCTGAATGGCCAATATTGGTTGGTTTAAAGATAAAGTTGGGTTCTGGTCATGCGATTGCATTAATTGTGAAAGAAAAGTTGTGGAATCGATCAGAAAAGGTTGGTCATTGTAGCATATAAGTATTGGTGTGTACTGCAAACTGCAAAGTTCTAGAATCATCAAAATGATTTTTAAAAATTGGCACAGTCTTGGTCAAGTTACAAAGCACTGTTCACAGAAAGATGTATATGGGACTACACGAACATGTGGCATAAAAATTTGTCCCGATTTTTATGATATTACATGCCACATTAAGAATATTAAAGGCCAAGTCCACTCCAAATATAATTTGCTTTTAATAGATGCAGAACAACAAGAGAAACAGAGCAAAACAAATTTGAGTAAAATCGGATAACTAATAATGAAGTTATGAATTTTGTTTAAAGTATGAAAAACTATGGAACTTAGAAAATCACTACAGAAATTGACAACTTGGTTCTCAGTTTGTGACGTCAATGCCTCACTATTTATCAATTGCTTTACATGTATGTATTTTCATCCCATTAATTTTCCTTTTATCCCCCAAAACTTGATTTCCACATACATGTATATGCCTTTGCCCAGGTCATATGATTATCGTATTGGGTGCATGACATTTCACAAAATCTTTTATGAACTTTGAAGAATTTATTCTATTTTCTGAATATTATATATTCATATCATTGATTTTTATAAAAATAGTTTATAAAAATTCACATTTTTCATGATTGAACTGAAAAAAATTACTCTATATTAGTGCGTCCACTCAAAAACATATCACTGTCAACATAACTTGGATGCTGGTGTGAGGAAATTGTAGGGACAAAAATTGGAAATTTATATTATCAATGTAAAGAAAACAATTACCGGTAGTTGATAGTGAGGCAATGACGTCACAGACTCATGAGTGAGTTGCAATGACGTCACATACTCATGAGTGAGTACCCATATTTCTAATAATATTACACATTCGCGATTAAAAAAAAATTCCTCAAGAAAACTAAAAAATTTCCAGTCTCAGGTACCCCATGGTGATAAACTCATCCGAAGCATTGGTTAGAGCATTGGTGAATGGAAAAAAGTGATTTTTCAGTTTTTTTTCTCAACATTTGGAAATCCTTGAGAGGTGGGTTTTAAAGGGGTGTAAACTGATGAGACTTCCTGTCTTTCCCCTGGCCTAACTCGGGGCCAATTGGGTATAATACGACTACGGAACCAACCGCAGCAATCATGCAACATACGCGAAACCGAAGCGTGAGGTGAACTTCGGTCTGTTTCGTGAACGCTGACCATGTAGAGATTAAGTCGCTGACTACCGTTAATCAAGTCCATTTGTTTAAGCGCAGTTGTCCAAAAAGGGATGTAGATGGCGTTCCCCTGTATTCATCAGATTACACCACCTTTAAAACCCAGGAGAGCGTAAAGCATTTCTCTTCTAGGGCGTCTCCCAGAATCCAGGCTATTTCAAACCAAAAATGATCTATTTAACAGGTGTCAGGCGGGTAGATCTATCGAACTATTAAATCTGTAACATGACAGAGGGCTGAATCCTTTCCAATATATCTCTCTCAGCAAGTTCTTGTCAATTTACAAACTGGAACAGTTTTGCTTTGTACCGGTATATTTTACATGAATAATTGGTGATTCCATCCAATCAACAGTACCGCAATGCAAACAGAAAACTCTTAAGCATAAGTATTTAATGTCAGATTTAATGAGAGGCCCAATTTACAATTCAATTGGAAAATCCATCTGTTAATAAATAATTAAATATGCATGTACAGTGTAGATCTAGGCCTACATTATGTGACACTGTAGTCTTGAGATGAGAGAGGGACAAGATCTATTCTATTTCTAGAGTCTAGACCTACAATTATAAATTAATCATCAACATCTAAAAACATAGGGTCTACTTTTGTCTTAAAATAATATTTCAACGTTCATTTCAATAATTTCATAAACACTCACATATCTAACATCTCAGACACTACTACCGCCACTGGTCTACACATCAATTAATTAATTGGTTCCCTATGCCTATGGACCCCCAATACAGCCAGATGGAGTACTAACAGGTGTGTACTGTATGTGTGTATTACGAGTGTGTGGTATTGTGTACATGAACCTGTAGATTGAGGGTGCACGATACAATGTCATTATAACAAAAAATAAACGATTATCTTACCATTTGTGTTACCGTAAGTGATGGAAACCAGATAAAACCACAGAAGTGGAATAGCTGCAACATATAATCGCCACATCATACATATTGTCAGTCGAGCTAGCCTGCTAGCAACACCAAAAACTCCATCAATTTGGTATAATTTCACGCTGCATACCTCAATATGGCGACTACCATGAATATAATACTGTACGAATCATATCGTAAACATGTAGGACTAGTCCATTATTCAAAAGGTGTAATGAGTTACCTTATATTCTGTAGATGGGATATAAATATATTAGTTTCAATCTTAATTTAAATATATTGATTTCATTCAAAGCAGAAATTATGTTTCTGTATTATTTATTGGAAAAATATCGTTATTTTGAACGAAAATAATATCAAATTTTTGTACCTTTATCCTCATTAAAATTTGGAGTAAGCCAGCCGCAAAGGTAAGAGGTGTGAAATTCGCCGTCCCTTTGACATGCAAATAATGCGCAGACCGCAGTCGTCCAATTTCGTTGTACGCAGTAAACAAGTTTACAGATTTCTTTTACTGAAACATATAGCAGATAAAGGATATTAGTAAATTAGGAACTATTAGGTTATTAGGCCTTAATTTGACGGTAAATAAAACCCAGGTGTGGTGTAGATATACACTCTTCGTGTATTCATTGAGCCCAATAACGTTCGTTTCTATTCACAGATAACTGAACCGTTAAAAAAAGCTTTTCTAGGCAATTTGTTTCTGTAAATACGTATTACATTTTAAACATGGCATTTTCTAAAAATCATAACAATTTTAGAGATCATTGACCTAATTTATCTTAACCTGATGTCAACTTATAAATGTAAAAACATAGATGAAATAGTAATAGTATATTAGTAACAATAATTGTTGATTGATTAATGATCATTATGTATATAATCCTATCGGGTATATTACGTGGACATCATAAAGATCCTAACCCTAATCCTAAACTCTAACCATAACTTGTCTGTAGAATTCTTGTCCTCCTAATGACAATGTCTTCTTAATGACTCACTTTTCACTCCAAATGTCCGTCTAATGACGCCTTAAGTAATAGGCCTTCTATGGAACTTATTAACGTTAAGAGGACACGAAATAATAATTGTCCTCCTAATGAATTCATTCCAATGCCCTCACCTCCCTGGTCTAATGATGCCTTTAGTAAAATACATCTACATAAAATTGTTACTTATGACTCCTTTTCTAAAAGTCTAGAGTGAGAGATATGAAGAAAATGAGGTAATATCTCAACGTCATTTTCCTCGCAAAGGTGAAGCCACGGTCGTTATGATAAGAAACATTACTTTCTCCCCCCCCCCCCCATCTCTCTCTCTCTCTCTCTCTCTCTCTCCCTCCCTCTCTCTCTCTCTCTCTCTCTCTCTCTCCTCTCTCTCTCTCTCTCTCTCTCTCTGTTCGCCCCCCTCCCGGAACCCTGGCGATTTTTTTTTTTGTAAAGAAAAAGCAGGCGAAGAACCAAGTTTGGTAAGCTTTGTTTCACTTTCAGTGGGTCGCAACATGCATGGTGTATCACGATTCCTTTGTTTTGTGCTTGCCCCCTTGCCCATAAAGCAGTATTCGCCATTTATATGCCCAACTCGAACCGCGTTGGCCCAAATGGAAAGTTCGGTGGAAAGCGCTATATATTGTTATTCTTATTTTAACGGGGCACTATAGTGGGGGCCAGTGTGTACCCCCCCCCCCCCCACGTGACCCTTTCACGTCGCCCGCCCTCATTGATCTGCTCTATATTGGTTTGGGGAAAAACAACAACAAACTAACAAACATTTTCTGAAGACGGTAAACTAGGGACTAGGCATACCTCTTCTAAAGTAACCTCACCCAAATAGATTTACAACCTTGAAATAAGCTCACATAATAAGCGATGGCGTAGCGTATCCGCGGGGCCCTTGAATAATGAGGGCGGGGTTCCTATATAGTCTTACGATATTTATTTTAAGCAAGGAGGGTGATGGAGTTATTGCATTAGGGGTAGAGGAGAAAGAGAAAGAGAAGAGAAAGGTAAATTTCTCTTCTCATTGTTTTTTATGTTTTGATTGTTCATCTTCCCATCCGCGCCCCTCACCCCCCCCCCCCCCCTCCTCTCTCTCTCTCTCTCTCTCTCTCTCTCTCTCTCTCTCTCTCTCTCTGGCTCCCCTCTTTCCCTCTCTAATTGAGAGTGAAACAAAATATGATTAATACCCCAGTCATACCAAAGAAACCGACACCAGATCGATCAAACAATGACCCTATATACCCCAATGTTAGTCTGTTTGAAGTCGATGTGGAGTAGGTCTGGCGGTGGGACTGAGATATCAGATGGGCGTGGACCCGAAAACTGGTCACTCCCACTGCGACTGGGCAGATTATTTGAATACGGTGAATCGTGTGCATTGCTTTAATACCGTAGAATAAAAAAATGGCGCAAACTATACAACTCCACCTTTAAAACACCATTATCTATACTTGAAAAGAAGGAATTTGATGAACGTGACCGTCTGGTGACACTCATTAATGCCTCACCTTCAATCCATTAGAGTTTCTAAACAAAAATAAAGCTACCATCATCATGCTAAATTTCGAGCCTTTCTATAACAATCAACCACCAAACTGTAAATAATTCTCGCATTTTTGTTGCTTTTCAACTTTTAAATATTATGAGATTATTTCGCCCTTATATCTGACGGCGCCTCACAATCACCGACATAATTATTTTTTCGAAAAGTCATGACTACATATTGTGCACTCTTGCGACTTCTAATTGGATTTTTAAAAACATGTTTACTAATTTATTTTAGGCGGCAAAGCTCCAGATTTCTTCTGATTTTGAACTATTCAAGGCCCTGTTTATCCCAAAACTCACAGGTTTCCGCATTGTTGGCATTCCAGCCGACCCACCTTTTTATTTTGCTCTTGACGGAGGCTGTCAAAAAATGATAATGATGCCGGTAGTGAAAGGATGTTTTCATTTTTGTTACAAAAACGAGGAATGTGTAATATTTATGATCGTCATAGCTTGCCCTTTCTTTAAAACACTTTGAACAATAACTTGCGAGTGCCACTTTCGAAAATTGTGTCCGATTTGCCTCCTCTTTGTAATGACGGTCTGTTTGTTTAAAACAGTTATTGTTTGGAGGCTTACCTGTCAGGGGCATGCATATCACGGGTCTAGAAACGAAGGGGCACCGATGTCAGTTCATGATGAGGGTGGGGGGGGGGGCACCAGTACCTACTCGGTGTATGAAATGCAAGGGAACTATAGGCGAGAGAACAATAGGTTTTGACTGCTTTTCATGTTGCCTTTCCAACTTCCGATCTTCTGAACTCAACCGATACTGTTTCCAAATAATTGTTCATGTAGCAAAACTGAGCTGACTAACTATAAAGTATTACTCTCTAGCAGGCGCGTACACTCTTATTTCCACGGAGTCAAATTTCACTCTAAATGGCGTCAGCTGGGAGTCAACTCTATTCCTAGTTAAAGTGACACGGATTCCGAATCAATTTGACTCGGATCGTGTGGCATCAGCTGAGAATTGACTCAATTCAGAGTCAAGATGACTCCTTTTCCGTGTCACTTTAACTAGGAATAGAGTTGACTCCCAGCTGACGCCATTCAGAGTCAAATTTGACTCCGTGGAAATAAGAGTGTACGCAGGGGGTAGTTTGGGGGTTAACCCCCCCCCCCCCTTCGAGTTTTTTTTATGTGTATGTTTAATGTATGTTTTTTTGGAACCCCCCCCCCCCCTTTTGATTTTAAAACCACCCCTTGAAAAAAATCCTGCGTACGCCACTGCTCTCTAGCGCCCGTCTCTCGATCTGTTCACCCTCTTTTTATTACCGCGACTGGACTGCTTTGATGACCTGAAGAAACCATGTTCATAACAATGCATACACTGTCTCAGTCTCTCTTTCTCCACCCCTTTCCTTCTCTTTTGAACTCTCAGCTTTCTTTCTCCTCACCTTTTTCCTTTCCCCTCCTTATTATTCTACACCCACCTTTCACTTCATTGCCCCTACCCCCTCCTCCCCCCCTCTCTCTCTCTCTCTCTCTCTCTATATCCATCTCTCTCTTTCTATCCATCTCTCTCTTTCTATCTATCTCTCTCTATCACCCTCTTCCTATCTCTTTCCCTCTTCTCAATTATCTCTCTCTGCCTTTATCTCTCACTCCGTGTCTCTTTAATATTTCGTGTGTTGGCCTGATTATTGATTTTATTTGTAATTTTCGTTTTGCTTGTACTCTTTTTCTTTTGACATTCTATGTACAGTCATGTATATAACTATATTTGTTTGCATTATATTTCTTTTGATCTTTTGTAATTTGTTGTATACAATATTATTGTTAGCATTCCTTTATAATATATTGTATTATTCAAGTTGTATACATAAGAATCTGGATTTATATAGCGCTTAATTATACGGAATGAGCGCTTTACAGTTAGTGTTACCCCGTCATTGGATTCATTCACGCACAATGTGCACCACCTCCACTCCCTGGGGAGAACCACAGTGACGGCATATAGGCAATTATACTAACACAAATGCTTTCGTCATCCTACCGGGCCCCCATCACTCTCTTGGGTATTGAGTGTCGAATGGAGATTGATGCCTTGCCAAATTAAGGACATTAGTGGTGATTTAGTGCCGTGTCGATCGAGGATCGAACCCTCGACCTTTGAATTTCAAGTCAAGTGCTTGGCCACTCAACTACGACACTTCTACAGGAAATGAAGGGACTCCTTCAGCCTGTTCTGCTGGTCATTTAAAAAAATATATAAACCAATGAATAAATGAATAAATGAATAAATGAATAAATCTTGCCCAGACATCAACTCTCCAGATTTTGCGAGCAAGCGAAGCAAATAAAGAAAACGACAATTAACACTTTATTACAGTAGCAAATTCGTATACAGTATCCTTTTTAGGAAGTGGGGATCTTGGGCCCAACACCCTACCAATACCCAGTTGGACATACCTCACTACACATTGCATTATCACTTTTTTATCAAAATCCTAACCAATATTGACTGCCCGGTAAGACCAATTCGGTTATGGTATAATAGGGCCTGGGGATTCGTTCCATTAAGAACAATTTATAGCTTCTTGCAATAAACAATGAATACATTATTTCCGTTATTCTGGAGAAGGGATGGCGTATCCACGAAGAAAAAGGGCTAGTCTACTATAACTGTATCGATCCTATAGAAAACCATTACATTCTCCAAATTGGTATTTACTTCAATGGATGGGCAGACACGGGTGGGGGGGGGGGGGGAGGTGGCATATAAGTATAGGCCTACTGTTGATTTACTGAAGGGAAATTAATTCTACTCAGTTGGGGGTAGGACTTTTTGAATCAGGGACCCTCATGGTTGAATGTTATATGACAAAGCTGCCTGCTGCATCCATACAAAGCATGTTGTATTGGTTTATTTTCTTCCGTGACGCCGGCCCGACTTTAGCCTTTTACTACTTTTGCACATTCCTATGTCCCTTTTGCCCCATTTTTAAAGCCCCCCCCCCCCCCCCCCCGCTCAGTGAGGAAATGTATTAACGATTAACCCTCAGTCTCCTCATCTAAATTCAAAAGAGAAGTGGCCCGGGGGGGGGGGGGGTCATACCCTTCTTGCTCTCAGAAAAAATCCGTACAAAACGGAAGAAGAAGAGAGAGAGAAGAAAAAGCTTGAAGAAGAAAAATAATAAGAAGAAAAAGCAGAAGAAGAGTAGCAACAAAATAACAACAACTGAAGAGGAACAAGGAAGAGGAGACTGTTGATTATACTCGACTGCAGATGGCGTTCTGTCTATTCTGCTTCACTAGTGTGCGGTGAATCATCACGTAATGTTTCTGGAATTGAATTTATGAATGAAGACAACTAGACAAGCGCTGGCAACATTTACGGAGCCTGAACGGGTCGAGTGCGAGTACATTAAGCAGGTAACCGATCAAATAATTTGATTAAGAGTAGTTAGAGTACACATATTTTGGTTTTAAAGTGCAAATACACGTCCGATTCGTCCGAGCCGCACAGCGGAACAGTTCAACCCCTACCCGCCGGCCTGGGTTGATCTGAGCTGATGGGTACGGGTGGTGGGTTGGACTGTCTTGAAATGTGCGTTGAACCAAAAACTTGGCAATTGGCCTTAGGAATAGGAGTTAGGCGTGCTAATAGGGCTAGGCTAGGCTATTTCACTCTCGATTCAATAGTCTTTGTAGCTAATAGGAATCCCAAAACTGTAAAACTGGATATAGATCTAGACCTAGATCTATTGCAAGCTAGGGCCTAGACCGAAAGCTTCAGTCTCTATAATCGTCGGTTGTTCCACTGAGACTACGTCTGGCTCCACTAGACCTCCGGTTATAGAGACTGAACGACTGCCTATGCCAGCCTGTGTTGAACTTATTCCGCTAGATTTTAGCCGCTAGGCCCCTCCCACAAACTTGCCACGGCCGTATTGTTATGCCCCCAAAATCCCCCAAAATGTCATTTTACCTCGTTCATTTCCAATTTTAAATTAGGCCTAGGCTATAATACATCGGTTCCACTTACTAACTTGATTGATATAATCCGTTTAATGGTCCCTTTTAAGGAAATTATCGGTCAAAATCGACATCCATGTTGAAAATCTTGCAAGCCGTGTTAAACTCTCGCTGCCGTCTTCTTCTTCTTCTTGATTTGTTTTTGTTTGGCAATCAGTCACAGTTGACTATTTTTGCCACACACTATTTTATGAATTATTTATATATATACATATATGTACAATTTCATGTCATAAATGACTATTTTTAGGATTCTTTCTCTTTCCATCCTCTTTCCTTCCTCTTTTTTTCTTTTTAGACTCTATAACTTTTTTTTAGAGAGAAAATTCAATAAATTAATAATTTTGGAAAGAGACGACGGCCTAGCAAGTTGTGAATGAAAAACGCCTATAAACTAAAACTAAACGTACGTACTTGTGTTTACGCGCACGTGCGCGTTCAAATATCACCTCACGTATGCACATGTGTACTTCGCACTTACCCCCACCCTTTTTAAAATGCCATCTTACCAGTCTTTGAGGTATATTTCGCAGACTTTCGGTTTTAACCTAGGTCACTCCGGCATAGGTGAGGGGGTGCCAGCTAGCATGTGATGTTGGAGGTGATCACCGAATTGTTAGAAAAAGTAAATGGTCAAATTAGTTACAAGTATTGTGGGCTTTATTGGTGCAAGAAAAAGGAAAAGAGAAGATTTAAAAAAAAAATTAAAATAAAAAAATTTAAAAAAAATAATAAAAAAACCTCAACAACAATTTAATTGTTTTGATACAGCCGCTTTGTTCTTAAAACGAAGCGAACTATTGCTTTTTGTTTAACTATTTCTGAAAGTTTAAGTAGTGTCATGATTTCCTGTGGATGTGATAAATCAGTTTCTACGAGTAACATAGCTCTTTCTATTATGTACTTTGGGCATTCAGTGAGAAAGTGGTTTACAGTTTCAGTACGTCCTATGCAGTTATTGCAATGGCCTGTCGAGTGTATATTCAATCTGAAGAGATCTAAGTTCAAACCTATCACTCCTATTCTTAATCTATGGAGAATACTTTCTTCAAATCTGTTCAACTTACATTCATATGGTTGATTTACTGTAGGCAGTATATGTCTAAGAGATCTATCAGAATTATTCCATCTGTCTTGCCAGAGTTTTATATACTTGCTGGTAATAATACTCTTTATTTCAGAAAAGGATAATTTATTACAAATTTCAATGTTATTTTGTAAAGCAGATTTTGCATAAAAATCTGCCATTTCATTTCCGTGTACACCACAATGGCTAGGAATCCATTCTAAGTGTATGTGTTTTCCTTGATACGATAATTTTGTACTTAATGTAATAATTTCAGTTACAAATGTAATATCTTTTTCATCCTTTATGGCGAGCAGGGCGCTTACGGAATCACAAAAAATAACAATGCCAACATACACATTAATGTTCTCTAGCCAATTAAGCGCAAGGACAATTGCAGCCAATTCGGCTCTGAAAGATGAGGTGTGATCCGCCAATCGTTTGGCTTGTTGAAAGGAGAATGCTGGTACATAAAAAGAAGCAGAACTTATTCCAAAACTTGGAACCTTTGACCCATCTGTATAGATGTGTAGTTGTATTGGCCATTTGGTACTGATCAATTCTAAACTGCGTTGACGTAAATAAGATGGGTTTTCAACTTTTCATGTTTGTTCACTATTTCGCTTAATTCTATCGACACTTTTGGAGCATTAATTTTCCAAGGGGGGAAACTAGGTATAGTGTAAGGTTCGATAGTACAATGTTTCATTAGTTCTGTTCTGCATCCAAATGGCTTGTTATTCTTTTGGAGCTTCAAAAGTTCCATTTGCCAGCTGGGCTTAACGTTTAATATGACAGGGTGATCTCGATGCATTTCAATCTTTTGTCTGAATCTGTCCGCCAGCATCTCGATGCATTTCAATCTTTTGTCTGAATCTGTCCGCCAGCATCTGTCTTCTTAAGTCTAAGGGCATTTCACCTAGTTCAACTTGTAGTGAATCTAATGATGTAAGAGGAAGAGCTCCCGCACAAATTCTCAAGGCTTGATATTGAATGGAGTCAAGTGATTTCTTTATACTTTGAGCCGCACTGTCATAGGCGTCAATCTCATCCCTTTTAGTCTACGCCGAAGGCAAAATGATTATGAAGGAAAAACTGTGATAACGCCATTACGAACGTGTAGATGGCGCACAGTTTTTCCTTCATAATCATTTTGCCTTCGGCGTAGACTAGAAGGGATGAGATTGACGGCAGCGAGAGTTTAACACGGCTTGCAAGATTTTCAACATGGATGTCGATTTTGACCGATAATTTCCTTAAAAGGGACCATTAAACGGATTATATCAATCAAGTTAGTAAGTGGAACCGATGTATTATAGCCTAGGCCTAATTTAAAATTGGAAATGAACGAGGTAAAATGACATTTTGGGGGATTTTGGGGGCATAACAATACGGCCGTGGCAAGTTTGTGGGAGGGGCCTAGCGGCTAAAATCTAGCGGAATAAGTTCAACACAGGCTGGCATAGGCAGTCGTTCAGTCTCTATAACCGGAGGTCTAGTGGAGCCAGACGTAGTCTCAGTGGAACAACCGACGATTATAGAGACTGAAGCTTTCGGTCTAGCTAGGGCCTACAAATGCAAAGCTTCTGATATATTTCAGAAGAAATTAATTTGCATCCTTTTTACTGTCTAGAAGAACCTCATGATCCTAGCCTGGCCTAGGCTAGACACATCTACAGTGTAGTCATAGACTATGGCTATGAAATTTGTTTGATCTCTAGAGCTATGGTCCAATAAAATATGCTTCTCCTCCTTCTTCGGTATAACTCAGGGATGTGAGAGTTCCGCGTTTCCGCGAATTTCCGCGTTTTTAGATCGCCCCGTCGCGTTTTTATTTTCTCCATTGAAAAAATCCGCGTTTTGCCCCAAGACAACTTATTACTTTAAGGGTCTGCGAATGCGAGACTAATACAAAAGCAAAAGCGCGCGCGCGCGCCTGCTTCAAAGATAGTACAGCGCCTGCATCGAGTATTGCTAGCTCAGCGCGCCGCGTGCGCCGGGCGTACCGTGCATTTCGATCGCTATACTATCTACGGTACGGTGTTTGCATTGATTCACATGTCTTCGTGCAGTGTGCTATTGATTTTTGTTACGATATTTCAATCAGAATCGGCGTTCTCTTTTGGAAATATGTATTACTTTCAAAGAAAATCTGTGAAATATGAGACAACATGGCAACTCGAGATCGGAATTTTATTGAGCGAGGAACGAAATTGGACTCGGAATCATTGGAGGAAGATAAGCGGGATCCACTGGTTAAAAATCCATGGAAATGGTCTTGGATGGACTTCACGCACAAAGATCAAAAACTTTCTCACTCTTTCCGTCTTGTAAAAAAAGCTGGCTACGCCGTGTGCGTAGTGTGTGATAAGGAGTGCAAATATGGTTCTCGTGGACGAGTTTCATTGACTGATCATTTGGACTCTGTTGCACACCAAAAAGTTTTGAAACTGAGAGCAGCAAATACTTTACTTCCAGGTGAGTTTACAATTGTATTTTAGAAATTAGAATCGCGGACCCCTCAAAATCCTTTAACTGATCAAATTGTTTTCTTGTGTGTGTGTGTGTTTTTTGTTGTTGTTTGTTTGTGCTGTAGGCCTATGCATTTTTATAATTATACTGGAAAGTTTTATTAATAAGACTGGTACATTCAAGTTACATGTGTCAAATCATGTCATTTGAATGGCATCAGTGATTTTGCTGGCCAGTGCCTAGGGGGGTGTTATGCTGCCCAAATTTTCATGTGATGGGTGTGTGTGTGTGTGTGTGGGCAGGAATTTGATTTGTTCATTTCTACATATAAATGTTGGCATATATTGTCATGCATTATTTCGTACAGAACATACTTATTTTCAAAGAATTTGGGGTGAGTACAGTGATACTTGGGCAGGTGCATGTATATGAATGTAACCTTGTTCATGAGTTTGCCTTTTTTGTATTTATTCATTTATTTATATATTTTTTTTTTGTTTGTCTTGTAGGTCAAAAACAACCAATGACTACTACATCAACATATGGAATTCACCCCATGTTCAAAAAACAATTGGATAAGCATGAACAACAGTTGAAAGGTGGACTCTCTGAGCCAAATGTGTCATTGCCCGACAGACAGGCATATGCAGAAGCAACCATACTTGCGTTTACAGCTGAACATTCCCTGCCATTTTCAATCGTGAATGATCTTATTCATCTTAACCAAGAACTTGCCAAAGATAAACAAGTGCTCGAAAATTTATCAATGGACAGAACTACAGCTTCGTATAAGATGACCCATGGATTATCAAAAACATTTCATGAAGAACTCATTGAGGATTTGAAATCCTCTCACTTCTCACTGAATATTGATGAATGCACAAGTGAGACAAATCAACGCGTTGTAACTGTCCTAGTCAGTTATTTTTCAGAGAAGGAGAACAAAGTAGTCACAAAACATCTGTCATCTTTTAAAGTAGTGACCGTAAACAGCGAGACTCTGTACAATCATTTAGTAGCTCTATTTGATAAGTATTCCCTTAAATGGGAGAACTTGGTTTCTATTTTGATGGACTCTTGTGCCGTCATGCGCGGTTCAAAAAGTGGACTTGAAACACGCATTAGAAGTAAGAAAGCTCCTCAGTTGCTTGACATAGATGGAGACTCATGCCACCACGCACATAATGCTGCAAAAGCCTTCTGCCATGGATTTGATAACTACATCGAGGGACTTCTCAATGACATCTATACTGATTTCAAGTGGTCCAGTGACCAAAAAGAGGTCTTGCGTTTCATCTGTGATGCACTGGGCATCAAAGCAACAATTCCAGAGCGATATGTGCCCCATAGGTGGCTTTCTGTATACGATGTTTGTGTAGATACATCTCGATTGCTAGATGCTCTGATACTTTTTTACTATCCCTTTTTGTCTGGATCAGACAGTTCAACTTATCTCCCAGTTGTTGATAGCATGTATCAAAAACATTCAATCAGTGAATCAGTAAAGAAGGAAATCTGTAAACATCAGTCTAAAATGTCAAATAAGACAAAAACAATGACCCAGGCTGGAAAAGACCGTAAGAAGAGGATTGTGAAGAAGCTGTTCCATACCCCGAGTAAAACCAAAGTACTTCTCCACATTTACACCTCCATTCTTCCTATGCTCAAGAAGTATGTCCTGTATTTTCAGTCTGTGACACCACTTGTCCACAAACTCAATGACAAACAGCAGGATTTACTGAAGGACTTTCTTGTATGTTTCATTAAACCTGAAATCTTGAACACACAAGCCTTGCATAAAGTAAATGTGAGTGAGGAGAACATACTACCTGACAATGCGGTGTTCCTCGTCAGGTACATCAAGGAGAATTTACAGGGACCTGCTGCAAGTGAACTAGTGAACAAGCTAAAGACTGCATATCTGAAATGTGGTCAAACCTTACAGAGAAAGATGCCAGTGAACAACAAACTGCTGAGGTGTGCTTCAGCTATTGATCCAGCATGTAGAGGCCACACAATCACACTCCAGCGCTTACTCCAGCTACCACAATTAGTGGCATTTGCTCTGAAAGATGTGCAAACTCATGAATATGAGAAGGAAGCAAGGCAGTATAATACAGACAAAGAAATTGTTAATACAGAAGAGAGAATAGACATATTCTGGAGTTCATTACGAGAGAAATATCCAGTTATGACAAGAGTGGCACTGGCACTGGTTAGTTGCTTTCATGGACCACAGGTGGAGTCATCTTTCAGTATAATGGGGAATGTTCTAAACACTGAAAGGCCCAACTTGCACATTGAAACATTTTCATCCATACAAACAGTGAAGTATGAGTTAACAGCAAGTGGAAAATCAGGAATCAGATATTTCAGAAGAAAAAATTACCTGAAAGATCAGGTAAATCCCAAACTCTGCAAGAATATGAGATCAGCATACAAGTCATATGTACAGGAAAAGGAACACAAGTCTGGAATGTCACAAACTGTACCCAGAAAGTCTGCTTGTCCTTCAAAGAAACAAACTAAGGAGAAAGCAATTGAAGATGCTGACAAGGCACGGGTGGAGCACACACATAAACTGATGAAGAAAGTGGAGAAAAGGAAATCTGAAATGCATGAACTACCTTCTAGTAGCAAAAAAGTACTGAAAAAAAAATGACTGGAGTAAAGAACTAGCAAATGAGAAATACTTAGAGCATCAAATACTTAACTTTAGGTACGTTAATCATTTTTTATTGTAGACCATAATAGAAGATGTTTCTGGATTTGGTATCATATGGAATGGTGAAGAAATTTAGTAAATGATGCTCTATGTACTCTATTATGTATATTGTAAATAATATGGAAAATTAAATGTTTAAAACATTGTAAAATTATAATCTTACCCCTATGAAATAGTGTTTTCTCTACATTTTAAAATGCAAAAACCTCTGGTTTCGGGGGGCTTTGCCCCCTCGACCCCCATTAGGGGCTTTGTTCCTGGACCCCCAGCCATTGGGTATGAGTCTGCTCGCTACGCTTTGCAAATCTCCTCTTTTTTTAGTTTGCTGCACTCACATCCCTGATAACTAAGTAGGTCTACAGACCACCATCGGGTGCATTCTCGTATTCACCTATTCACCTTTCACCTGTATTCACATGGATTAACACCCAGCAACATATCGTCCTATCTCCAGCTCCCAAACTCAAGTAGATGCAGGTATAAAACAAGGCAAAGGGGAACTTATAAATACCATGTCATTAGTTCCAACAAAGACTGCTACCGGCATTCCCTGTACCCCAAGACCATCCCTGAATGGAATCATCTAGATGAGGAAACCAGAAGCTCACCCGATGTGAAAGCTTTTAAACTCAAATTGGACTCACTAGACATTATAAACCTTGTAGCCGAAGCACACTTCAATATTTAGGCGTGTTTCGTTTTGACCCTAACCCAACGTACGCGACAACCAGATGCTGGTGATTGTACGTCACAGACAGATGCAGATACAGACCTGTCTTTTTGGGCTCCTTAGTAAGACAATGTCTTGTAATGCCCTCCCATAGTTCATCAGTACACCACTGCAAAGAGTTCGTTCCTTAATACAATAGATCCATTGCTGGATCTGTGGGAAGACTCAACAGGATTATCACCTGCTGGGCCTATAACTAAACTTGTCGAGCTGTGTTGAAAGATAGGCATCCACCTCTGATTTAAATCTGTCTATGGTTGGTGCATTCATTGCTGACATCGGTAGTTTGTTCCAGGTGTTGACCACACGGTGTGTGAAACTATACTTGCGGATGTTGAGATGTGCACGCTCCTTGTGGATCCTCATGTTGTGGCCTCGTAAATTGATTTCCAGCTCCTTCATTGTAAACAAATTGTTTATCTTGATATCGTTGAGGCCATGCATGATCTTGTAGACTTGAATCATGTCACCACGGAGGCGTCTGTACGAGAGGGTAGGTTGGTTGAGCCGTTGAAGACTGGTTTCATATGGTAAGTCTTTCAGTGCTGGAATCATCTTGGTGGCACGCCTCTGGACTTTTTCGATTGTAGTTCTATCCCTCTCTAGTAATGGGCTCCACACACATCTGGCGTACTCTAGATGGGGACGCACCAATGTCTTGTATAGTGGCTTGAAGATCTCTTCATCTTTATGATCTAATGTTCTTTTGATAACTCCAACGATCCTGTTGGCCTTGTTAGCTGTTACACTCACATGTTTACTGAATTTTAAGGATGGATCAAAAGTTACACCAAGGTCCTTCTCATCTTCACGAACTTCAAGGTCTTTTCTTATACCTCCTCCTTCCATATTGTATGTTGTCTTTTCTACCTGTGTACCATAATGCATTATACCACACTTGTCTACGTTGAATCTCAGTTGCCATCTTTCAGACCATTTACTAGGCCTACAAGCTGTGCAGTACGTGATTATTATAATGTCTCAATAAAAGGCTTTTCAATTTCATTTACTTTCCTTTTCGCAGGTAGATCTACAACATTTGGAATGGATCACTGTTACGCCTCATACTCTAGCAGGACACAAGGCAGTTCCACAGATGACCTGGAAATAAGAAATGTCAAGGATACAACTGTGAATGTCAATAAGACTTTGTCACACTGTGTGCAGAAGAATGTGGTTGTAATTGCTGGCCAGAAAGTAAAAGATAATCAACACATGGAAACGAATGTTGACTCTGATCATTTAGCAGGTGTCAGGCGAGTGAACACAGATTCAATGAGTGGGCCAGCACAGAGACAGCGGACAGAGAAAGAGAAGATGGTCCTCCTTCAAAAACAGCTCCTAGAAATCCAAAGGAAACAAACACAATGTCTTCTCAAACTCAAACAGGAAAGTAAGAAAGTCCAAAAGCTGGAAAGAGACGCCCAAAAGAGCAATATCGACCGGGAGAACCTGAGTTTGACAAAAGAGCAGGTCGTTGCCGGAGCGAAGCGATTCATGACAGAACCAGTGGTGTCTTTCTTTGCCGATCAGATGGATTACCAAGAGACAGAAGGTGAGGTGAAGAGTAGAAGATGGAGTTTGGAAACAAGACGGTTTGCCCTGGAAATGTATTTTCTGAGTGCTCCCGCATATCAGTTCCTGGAAAATGTGTTCCATCTTCCGGATACCTCAGAGATAAAGACTTGGGCAGAAAAGGGAATGGATTGTGTTTGAGAAGTCCTGGATGTGTACCTGGTGCTCACAGTGCTTCCCACGTATGCTTCCTACATCTCTGAAGACCTCTTCTTCAACATAAGGCCTAAAGAAAAAGATGTATTGCCCTTTAAGTGCCAAAACATGGGTCTGTCGGTCGGAAACCTTTTTTATTTTCATATATATTCTCCCTCTTTTGGCATATATTTCTCAGGTTTAAAAAAAAAAAACTTTTTTAAAAAGCCGACCGTAGATTTCAAGATTTTTGGGTTGGTCACAAAGGGCAATACAACATCTTTTTTTTGTGGCTAACTGACCTCTCAGAAATGCAGTTGTGGGTTGAGGAGGGAATGGACAGTGATTGACAAGTCCTGGGTCTGTATCATTTGAGTGCACCAGCATATTTATAAGTTCCTAGAAGATAGAGGTCTTTCTCTTAGCCGATATTGTAGAAATTCTGTCCTGGGTTCAGAATGGAGTAGATTGTGATTTAAAAGTGCACCTGATATCTTGGAGATGCAGACTTTGACATAAATTGGACGCAGTATGTATTGGTGGCGGGTCATAAATTGGATGCATATTGGACACATGCACAATACATGGACATGCTAACTTCATCAGCACTGATCCATCATGTGAGCTTGAAAATAAAATAGTTTTCATTTCTCTTGGGGGAAAGGGGGGGGGGGGTGATATCTTGCCATAAGGCTCTCTTTACTATCGCTAAAAATAAGTTCTACAGGTCACATCCTTTCAGTTTGCAGAGCTTTGGAATATTGTACTAAAATTGCCAGAATGTATATAAAATTGTGATACTGTTGAAAACTTCAAAACACGTCTGAAACGACTTATGGAAGAATGCGGAGCATCTCTCTCTTCTCTATTCTTTTCTTTTTCTCTTTTCTTTTCTTCCTTCTCTCCATTACATCACATACATGTAGGGACATGTTTGTGATACCCGGTATGCGCTATATACATGTACGTATGGCTCATTGTTGTTATCATTATTACGTTGTATAGACGAGAAAGCTCTGAATTGTACAGTTATTAAATTGTGTCCAATTGGTCACCTTCAAAGAAATTGTATATAATAAGAATATAAGATGTATAAGCTATACACACTTGCACAAAAAATTAGTTTCCATGCAGTTGATATTTTCAGTATTATTAATTTTCTTGGGTGGTATTCTGAAAAACTTATTTTTCAAGATAGTAAGAAGTATGTTGTCAAAAATATGAATTAGGGCAAGTCATTTGTTAATAATAATAATAATATTGGATATTTATATAGACACATATCCACCCTGCAGGGTGCTCAAAGCGCTCCAATATTACCCCGGATCTGCTAGGCTACCGATGTCGGTGGTCACAGCATTCAAGGAATTACTTCCTACCGGTCCCCATTTACTTCACCTGGGTGGATAGGAGTGCGGCAGATGTAGATCAATATCTTGCCCAAGGACATGCCCCCCCCTGCCATAGCTATGCAACTTACTGTTCAAGTATACTCAAGATCATTGGCAGACAATTTGCATGAGAGAGATTCTTCAGCTTCAGAGCTGTTCTCGTGTGGCATAAGCCATGGTTAGCAGAATAACATACACAACAAATTTGATGATTATTACTTCAATTTTTTTATTGAAACCAGTGACAACATTGTGCAATACAGTGTACTCTGTTGAATAAATCCATCTGGGGGTGTGAGATCCTAAGTTGGACTTAAAAATTATGGAAAGCCGTTAGCATCTATGAGAATATTTTGTTAAAGTTATTTTAAAAGGCATAAAATGTTGATTCAAATCTTTCATATTTTCTATTATCGAGGAGATTTCTTGTTCTTGATGTGGAATTTATAAAAAGTCTAAAATACTTGAAATTTCACTTTTGAAATTTATTTTCAGGCTACAAATGGCTCTCCATAATTTTAAAGTCCAACTTAGAGTTAAGTTCGACCTAGGATCTTTGTGTAACACTCCCCTGATATTGTAAGCACCTTTAGTGGAAGTCACAATGATAATGATGTTCATGGTTCACAGCCTTTTGGTCATTGAGGTTACAGTAATTCGTTTTCAAATAGTTTAAATTACAATGGAGAACACAATCAAACATTCGTAATTAGTCCAAGAAACCAACGTCCCAGACCGACGGCTCACACCCTGATAGACTGGTATGTCATTCTCCCTTTCTATAAACTTATATAAGGGCTGTCGGTCTTGTGGGCCGATGGTTTATGGTCTGTCAGGCTCTACTGGGATGTCTGATCTTTCTTATTACATGTATATCACTGTACAATAAATATGTTGCATCTATCATTATATATGCAGTACTGGTCATTCATTGTCGTCCTGAATTTTTGTTCGACTTACAAGTAGCTACATGTACCGTAGTTATCTTTCTAAAAATCTGAACATCAGCCTGTCTCATCTCCATGTACATTCAAATGAATCAATCCATACTGTAACAAATTCTTATCAACTGAATACAAACATTACCTCTACCACATGACACATTTTAATGACAAAAAGTGAAAAATGTTAGTTGCATGAACTTGTTTACACACTTCTTCAAGCACATTCCAATATTTGATTAAAATCAGATACATGCACTTCATTACATGAAAGTTTTTCTTCAATATACATACACAAATTATATATATACCGGTATATATATATATGTTTTTTAATCTACTATTGTCTTTTTATAATCAGAAATTTTGCTTCTGAATGCACTACTTTGAGACGAGACATAGATTAAATTCTTCATGTACATGTAACTTTGCCTTTTACTTTTAGTTTTTTTTAAATATTAATTACTTGTTTTAATTTTCTTAAAACACTGTTACTTCGTTATGAAATCTTTCATAATTAAATGTTTCACTTAAAATTGGCAATTTCTTAAGTGTTTAACAAAACAACAAAGAACAAGAAGGGATTCACACTATATAGTTCTCTGGCAATTTAACAAGTAATGCAAGGATACTCCAACTTAACCTAGAATATACTATTACTATTACTGAAATCTTGAACTAAAATATGTACCAGTACATTACATTGAAATACTGTAATGTCAGAGAGAAATAAAGCATATAAAAACGTGTTCATAATGAAGTGCACAGACATGTACTTGATGTAAATGTATAACCATATAGGTCCTGTCCTGTCAAATCATTACTGTTACAAAGAGTACCCCATCATTATTCAAATATCTGTAGTGTCCAAAATATTTACTGTTTAAAGAAAGTAGAGTACAATAAAGCTTATACATGTGTATGGAAGCAAAGTAACATTAGATTGAGGCAGTTTGAAATTGATAATGATGCAATTGTACACGTCCTGGACTACTGGTTACACAAACTTAACAAAGATGATGAAATAATGATTTTAGTACAATATTCATGCAGGCAGTTAATATGCAAAGAGCCTTAGTTTAAAACGTCAATAAATATTTTAAAATGCAACAAAAACCAAATGATACAAAGCATGAAAGGTCAACGTATAACATCGACGGAACACTACTCGTACATTTATTAATGATGTAAAAATGGCTAGTGAAAGTGTTCTTCAGAGAGAAAAACAAATTACATGAAAGTTCAAGCATTACTTGATCAGAAGACAACCAAGAAAATATTTATGTAGCCCACAAGTTTACATGTCTATTTCTCAACATCTTTTTTGTAATATAAAACAAACTAAAAAACAACAATGAATGTTATTTTTTGACATCCTGTAGAAATTTCAAGAATTTATAAATTTTGTTAAAAAGACTTATTTTATGGTTACAATTTATTTGGACATGCACTTTTCAAAACAGAGAAAAGGCATATTAAAACATATTTAATACATGATGTATTACATATTTACAATTGAGAAGTTACATTCAAACATGCATGTGTTTACAGGCCTACTAAAATAAAGTGTAGCTCAAGGCAACTACAGATACATAAATATATATGTACACACTACTAATTTCAGAGAGATCAATATAAATGAATCTTAGTAGAGAGATAACAAGAGAGAGAGAGAGAGAGAGAGAGAGAGAGATATACAGTAGGTAGAAAGAGAGAGGGAGGAAGAGAGAGGGAGAGAGAGAGAGAGAGGTACAGTAGGTAGAAAGAGGAAGAGAGAGAGAGAGAGAGAGAGATAGGGAGAGTGGGGGGAGGGGGTGGAGAAATAAATGTGAGAGAGATAGAAATTGAAGTGATTGTAACATTGCAAGGATAATAAAGAGAATAAAAACAAAAGAGTGAGGAAAAAGAACCTGTAAGTTGATAAAAATATGAGATAGGACAACAGAGTACTGACAATAAGAATAAAATTACTGTGTAACTCCTTTGAATCCTTTCCCTATAAACCATACATCTGATTGTTCATGAGATACTCAAAATCTGCTATGTACATTTCAGTTACTTTCATGTTATGGCACCTGTGATATACCAACGCATTCATTAAATAGTATTGCACTTCCATTGTCGGTTTCATCACTTATTCAATTTAAACTTTAACTACTGATTCCACTGTTGAATACAATTTTCTTTTTAAATTAAAACAGGCTTTGTAATGCATCCTAAAAAATGCATTAAAAAAAAATCACTTTCATCTACATTTGTAGAACTACTGTGATCTAAACAGAAATAGGGCTCTATATGGACTGGCACTTCCAATAATTTAACCACTATCTTTCAGCCAATAAACATCGTATGTATCACATTTCTAATATTACTTCAGTGTTTTGCATGTGAAACCTACAAGTACCTATATAAATTGTTGCATATAAAATCTAAAAATCAAATAAAAACACACACTTTCATCTCCTCAACGATTGTCTATGTTTCATTATATCTTCAATCATAAATGTCTGTCATTTACAGCCAATAAAAACTGGAAGGCTTCATTTTTTCGCCTGTAAAGACGATTTAAATACTGCATCAATATGACAAAATTATCCATTCACCACCAGAAAGGCAAAGAGACCTTTGGCACAAATGTTCTTGTGCAAATCAATATCCGATTTACCATCTTTACGTCTTAAAATGAATTCAGAAATAAATTAATGCCCTGCTTGTGTATACGGAAAGGTTCCACATATAGAAAACAAGAAAATCAACCCATTAATACAGGTTAAAATAAGATAATCTAAACATTATCTTAATAATCTGATCTCAACATTGAGTTAATCTTCTTCAGGCTCTCAACAGAAACAAAACAGCAAAATGTCTGCTGCATATACACCACAGCACCACCCTTCTACCAAGGGTAGTAGTGGTCAGATTGTAATAGTTTGCATCCAACGTGAATGTATGCTTTCCATCTCTCTCAGCAGTCAGAATGCAAACCTTTTGCAGACTTTGATAAAACAAGAAACTTTGCAACATCAATCTTCCACAAATCGTCAAAGCTTGCCTTTTCTTGCAGCAAGAAACATTGGCCAAATATTGTTGGAGTACAGATATGGTTGTGATTCATTAATTTTGCAGAAAATTTGCATATTTGGATCACTCTCGAAATTTCACAACATTTTCTGGTTTGTCAGTATAAAAATATACCATCGAAGGCCTTCATCACCGTTTAGGCTGCAGGATACCCGAGTGTGGTCAGTTCTTAAAAGTCTGCATCCAACGTAAAGGTGTGCCTTCCCAATTCTGGGGTCATCACGTTCATCTTCTGGTACTCTCCCACTCGCTTCTCAAAGAAGTTGGACTTTCCTTCCAGCGAGATGTTCTCCATGAAGTCAAAAGGGTTCTCAACTTTGTAGATCTGGATTTTCGTGGGTGGAAAGAGGAGTAGTAAGATAAAATCAAGTTGAGAATAATCATAACACACCAGGGTGTGTTTCACAAAGACTAAGATTGACTTAAGTTGGACTTGAACTATGGCAGGCCATTCATGCCACCATTGGTCTCTCAAGGGACGTCACAAATCAATAGAATTCACTTTTTTTTCTTAGTTTATTATTTAAGGAAAAAAACATTATCCAAAGATCATAATTTCTAAGGTTTTTTTCCTCTAATTTTACATCTGGTTCAAGACTATTAAAGGGCATGAACTGCCTCCCATAGTTCAAGTCCAACTTAAGTGGATCTTAGTCTTTGTGAAACACCTCCCTGGTAATATCATAAAACAATATTCATAGAATCAGCATTTCATATAGAGTATCAATGGCATTTAGGTGTAAATTAGGGTTATTCTTCAATTTGCTTCTACCTACAAACTATTCAGAAGACATCTTCAAAAGATGCAAAATGAGAGAAAGAGAGAGCGGGAAAGAAAGAGAGAGAGAGAGAGGGAGGGAGGGAGAGAGAGAGAGGGAGGGAGAGAGAGAGAGGGAGGGAGGGAGAGAGAGAGAGAGAGAGAGAGAGAGAGAGAGAAAGGGGGGGGGGGGAGGAAGGGAAAGAGAAAGAGAGAGCATCATAAATATATGATCTTTGCCATACCTTTGGGCATTTGAGTTCCATGAGCAGTCTGTCGGCCACAAACTGGATGTACTGGCACATGAGACGGGCATTCATACCAATGAGAGCTACCGGTAGAGCTTCGGAGAGGTACTCCTCTTCCAATCGGACCGCATCCCTGATGATCTCCTGGATACGGGAGACAGGAGTCGGGTGGTTGAGATGGGAGAAGAGCAGGCAGGCAAAGTCGCAGTGGAGACCCTCATCACGGCTAATCAGCTCGTTGGAGAATGTCAAGCCTGGTAATAGTCCTCTGCAGAATTAGGATTGAATGTTCATGAGTATGGGCAAAGAGAAGAGTTTAATGGGATATAAATGATGAATTGTGCTACACGCAAGTATTTAGTGCTGCTGAAAAAATTACAATGACCTTTAAAAAAAAGGAATATACCCAAAGTGAGACTTGACACCTACAGCCGGCCGATGCTCCAAACCGTAACTCTAAACCCCAAATTTTCAATATTTTAACAAGGGGCCCATGCACAGGGACTCCAATATTCAGAGCCTCTATTCAAAAAGATGTGGAGCCCTAACCTAAGGCTAGACCTTATGTCTTCAGATACAGATATAAGATCAATATTAAACTGACAATACATGTTATATGACATATTGCATGTGAGTTATTCAATTCAGTTCAATTATATTCTACACAGATTATCAAAGCCTCTCTGCACTAGTTTGGCCAGGAGGGAGTAGACCTCCCTGCATGGTCACTGGCAGGTGGTTCTCATCAAATCAGCTCTAAATTAACATAAGAAAAAGGGGACCAACGGTCACTGCTTAGGCATTGTTTGCTCTATAGAGGGCGCAAGTAGCTTTAAGTAGTGCAGTGGGGCTTTAAAGAAAATGGATTTAAGATCATCACAAGATCTTCTTTACGCAAAGATGTACCGCAAATACACACACAATTGGCATCAAATTTATATCCTTAATTCAATTCAGGTTTTATTGTAAATAAAAACATACTGAATAAAAAGTCCGGAGACTCATACAATTCAGTTTACAAATTATAAATACATACAAGAATAAAGAAATCAATACTTTTGGCAATCTTTTTTTTATATTAATTACTGATTCTAATGAACTAAACAACTAATTTCAAACAATCGTGAAATAATACATGTTCTAATTGTGCAATTAAAACGTTTAAAGAGTAAAATAAGTTGTTACCGTTTTCTAAATGTCATATGCAATTTTGTAATACACTTTCAAATTAATAAGTAGTCTTTTTTAAACCTAGTTAACATTTCTTTAAAAGTATATTTATATATAGATATATATACCGCTTCTTGAACCAAAAAATAGCAGCAAAGGATCCTGAGAAGAAGATTCCTTCCACTGCAGCAAATGCAACCAATCTCTCAGCGAAGGTGCTCTCATCTGATGCTATCCACTTCAAAGCCCAGTCTGCTTTCTTCTTCACAAATGGCACTGTGAGAGAAAGCAACAGAAAATCAATGACCAGTCTCAACTTAGAGTAAGGAACAGAAGTCGATTACCAGTACCAGTCTCTACTGAAAAAAGGAACATAAAAATTGTTATCAATAACAAAAGCTAAATTTCTACGGCAAATTTGCTCTCAGCCAATCAAAATGCCACAATTTCATTAGCTTAAAACAGTTATTGTTACTTGTAATTGATGAATATAAATCATGGTCACAAATCTACAGAACTTACATTTTTGATAGTTCATTGATGAAGGAAAAAATATTATCTAAACATCATCATTGAGAGACCATTGGTGAGAGCAACCAGTGGCATAAACGGCCTACCATAGTTAAGTCCCACTTAAAGTTGATCTTAGTTTGTGAAACACTCCCCAGTGCTCACTTTATGACTAGACCCAAGCTGCTTAATAGTATTTCACTGTGTGCTTTACCTACTGGTTATAACCAACAAGGGTTTGTAACCGTGTCCTCGTACACACAAAAAAACATCAAACATTCTGGTTATGTGACTACAGTCAAACCTGCTTTAGCAATCACCTGTACAGAAAGGCCAGTTATATATAGAGACCACATTTTTTGTTCCCTCGAATATGGTTTCTCAATGAAACCTATACTAAAGGAACCTGTACATACAGACCACCTGCCAATAAAAACCATGTTTCGTGTTTCCCTTGAGTGTTCTTTACATACAGGTTTCACTGTTTTGATACTTACTGGTTTGAATAGCATTGAAGAGTCTGTGTTTCTCTGTTGGGTCTTTCACATAGGTATCTATCAGGAGACTGTACATCTCAGAGTGAATGTTCTAAACAAAGATGAAAATAGGGCAAAACATGATATCTTGTGAGACAGAATCCCACTTCTTCTTGTTGTAAAGAGTTCCGATTGATTCATAAATGTGCATTTTTATCTTTGTGCGACATGTACATAGAGTGCTTTTTCTTGTTTACTACTTAATTATTCAATATTTCACAAATATTGAAGGAAGTATGTACATTTCTTTTGAGCAATAAATCTTATGTTGAGATAATGGACAAAGTTTTCTACAATAATTTTTTTTAAATCGATTTCATTTTTCTAGAGACAAAGTGCCCTAATTTTGATGTAGATTTTTTGTATCTGTTTTGACAAATGTGTAGAAAAAAAGACCTACCATTTGAATGATAAACACTGTCTTTAAAACCGTAGGTCTCATGGTTACTCATAAACAAGGATGAAACAAGACTAATTTTTAAAGCATCTCTGTCAAAACGTATCACAATTACACCAAACTAAATGACATTTTTTTACTGTTATATTATAAAAGTGAGAGAAGTTTAAAAAAACATAAAAAGATTAATTTGTGTACTCACCTCCATTGCAATCTGGAAGCCATAGAAGCATTTAGCTTCTGGTATCTGGACCTCTTGACTGAACCTTTCTACCAGATTCTCATTGACGATCCCATCGCTGGCTGCAAAGAAGGCTAGCACGTGGGTCACAAAGTGCTTCTCCTCCGGCTGGAGACGGATAGAGAGTAAATAAACAAATGGTAACAGAGAATAAAACTTTGCTGCAAAGAAAAGTGGAAAAAAACAAACCCTTGGCAGGTCCTAGTCAAATTTTTCATTTTTTCCCTTCTGTATTGGCCCATAAATAATAAGTTTACAATTTAACATGGTGATATCATTGGTCCTAACTTCACCTCGTATCAAAATGAAAGTCGCTTGAGTTTTCTAACATACTACAGTGTCTGCTACAAAGCAAAAAAATAAATAAAATAGGGGTGTGTCTTATGCACAGAGATTTACAGTAAGTTTAATACGCGTTTCATGAAACGCTACCCTGGTAATCTGGTATTGTGATCTAAGGTAAAGTAAAGAATAAGTGGTGTATCAAACCTTGAGTTTCTGCCAATCCTTCCAGTCTTCTCCCAAGTCTACCTCCTCTGTAGTCCAGAAAGAAGCTGAATTGGAAAGAATTTGTGGACAATTGAATTATGATGGAATTTTTACTACAAATTGTACATATCACAGTACCCCGTTACATGCATGGATTTGCAGGAAAAAATGCATTTAAATAATGGTTGAGTTCAACTATATATTTGTAAAGCACTTAGAGAAATTTGTATTAAGCGCTATATAAAAATTAAATATTATTATTTATTATTATTAACTTTTATTCACCTATCATTTACTCTCCTTTGATGAAACCTGTTCATATCCATTTGGTTTTAAAGGTAAAGACCAGTTATGGTCATGCAATTGCATTGTGAAAGAAACGTTGTGGAATCGATCAGAAAAGGTTGATCATCTAGCATCTAGCATCTGCAAGGTTCTGGAATCATCAAAATGATAAGAAATTTGGCCCATTCTTCGTAAAGTTACAAGCACTATACACAGAAAGAGGTATATGGGACTACCCTATATCTCTCACAGACCATGAGAGAAACAAATTTACCAAATATATGAATTAGTAGGCGGTTTACCGGCAAATTTTTTATCATCATGTATTAGTCAAAACATATTCTTTCACATGATTGGTAATGAGAGCTTCCATTTCATTTTTTGAAATTGGGGCATTTCCAATACTGGTCTTTACCTTTAAGAATAATATGTATCCTCCTATTTATCAACAAAAATTACAGAAATGTGGAAGAGTGAGATGATACCACAGAGTATTTCAACTGTTAACATGGTCATTAATTATTACAGGTCATTTGATGGTTTTTCAATTCATTATTCATTCAAGTCACAAGTGCTATGAACCTACAAGTAACCTACCCATTGCTCTCTTGTAAAACTTCCATACGTCGGGGTACTTGATTGGAAAGAGTACGAAGCGCTGAGCATTAGGGGTCAAAAGAGGTTCATCCATTTCATGCCCTGCCTTCTTCTTATCATCAGTAGTCCTTGAACTTTGACCTTGTTGGCTTCCGACGGTGGTAAAGGTGGTGTTTTTTGAGAGAAGAACAGTATCCAGGATCTGTAATTTGGAAGCATTTGATTTGGTTGAACCCTGAGAGGTAGTTGATGGATGAACACTGCTGTCACCTGGCTGTATGGTCTGCATGGACCTTGTTGATAATCTCTGCAGCTCGCTTTCTTCCTCCTCTTCATCGCTGGTTTCGTTGAGGATCACCGTCATCGAGGAGTCAAAGGAATCAAGACTTGGCTTGTCGGTGAGCTGGGATGTACCGGACACTTCTCCATTTCTCCCCTTCCACGTTTCCTCCACTTCCTCCCCACCCGTCTCATCTCTAGCGAGTTCAGGCTGGGATGCGTCAAAGCCTTCTCCGTCTTCATGACCCAGCTCTCTGTCGGCCTGCGAGTCTGGGGCCATGTCCACGGACATCATGGACACCTGAGAGGACGGCATGGCCGGCTCATCTTCGTCGCTACCATGGTGATGATCAAACCAGTTCGTCTCTCTTCCATCTCCATTGATAAGGTTTGGCATCCCTGATTTAGGTTTCTTACTCTTTGAATCAAGACCCCCAATCACCATCTAGTAGGACCAACAAATATACAAAAGAAATAAAGTGAACAAATATATTTTAACAAACCAAACATGTATTGCAATAATATTATACCCCCGCCCCCCCCCAAAAAAAAAAAAAAAAAAATCATAGACTGATAGTACTTTAGCCAAGTAATCTAGGTCTAGAGTCTAACAAGTTCTACATCATTACTAGACCGAATTTTTCTGTCTCTTTCGTTCGTTAGCCTCTGATTTGGGTAGGTCGGCTCAGCCGACCTACCCAAATCAGAGGCTAACGAACGAAAGAGACAGAAAAATTCGGTCTAGACTCTACATCATTACTGTGATTACATGAACTTGGTTGGAGAAAATTTAAGTACACCATCTGAGCATGTCTCCTCCGCATAAGTTAAATTCTGACTATCATGAAAATATAATTATAAGCAATTCAACAGTCCATACATTTAGACTCTTTTTTTTTTCAAACCGTGCAAACAGCTATTCAAGCGTGTGGGACCGAAGCCAAGGACGCCGATGGGAGATGCATACGATATTCTCCGATCACTTTTCTAATTACCTGAGATCTCTTGTTATTTCTGAAGCTATCCATCCATACGTGGTAATCTAGGGTGACTGTTGGAATTGAGGTTCCATGTCAAAAAGTTTCAATAAACAGCTATAGAGTCTAAGCAGTAACAAAGCGAAAATGGTAGCACTAGAAGTCTAGTCTATTATTTGCTACACACGTTACATTTGTTTTGTTTGCGTAAGCGTGAATATTGCGACTGAATCAATGTGCGTATGTAGGTCTTACTTAAGTGCTATAAATCGTGCTCACTATACATTCGCAGGAGAGTGTTCTGAAACCCCACACAACTTCTGGGTTTAAATGTCCACTTGCAATTTTTCTAATTTTAACCTTTTCGTAATTGATCGCGTTTGCATGTTCCTGCACGTTGGGTTTTGTTTACTTGTTTTCCTTTCACATTTGCACTCATGGCTTGTCCAAAAAGGTTGACAAAGGAGGTTTGATAAACTATGGCCTGCAAGAAATAGATTTAATTTAGAGAAAGAAATTGTATTAGATGTTTCAATTTAAAATATTCATTGCAATAAATACATAGGCTTAGATAATATAGAAGGGTTTTCTTAACTTCAAACAAGAGTCGCTTTCAACATTTCTATCTATAGTAATATATTTCTGCTAAATCTTTAAGTTTTTGTTTTTGTCTAAGTATTGTTGTTGTTTGTTGATGGGGGGGGGGGGGGGGGGGCTGGGGTTTTGGTAAGATACGGTGCATTCCTCAGAGCTCCTGATACAATGAACCAAAAACATCAGGAGAAAAAGCCCACCCCCATACAAATAGATAACAATATTAATAATAATAATAATACAAAATACATAATACAAAAACAGAGAGAATTTTTTTCCGTCGAGATCGAATACATACATTCGAGGTGTATATTAATAAGAGCAAGGAGGGGGGGGGGGGGTCGGGTGTCAATATATCGTGTGTGTGGGGGGGGGGATCATGGGCGGTGTTTCAGACCATTGTTTAGATTCTCCCTATCTTTTTCTCGTGTCAGACATTTTAATTTTGGTTGGTTCTTTCTTTCTTTAGAGAGAGATAGATAGAGAGAGAGAGAGAGAGAGAGAGAGAGAGAGAGAGACTGGGAGAGAGAGAGAAAGAACTATGGTCTCCGATGTGGGTCAAGTGATGAACTGTGGGTCTTCTTGCCCTTGGAAGGACATGTCGATTGTCGAAATACAACATGGGCACAGCGGGAGCAAAACAACTTCTTTACATTGCATTATATAGTTCACAACTTCTCATGCTTGTCTGCACGTTTATAGAGCAGGTAAATACCATCCATGCCCAACCATTGTTAAATACCATGAATCATCAATACTTTTATTCTCTAAATTGAAAATGGTTATGAAATACGAATGTTATCGTTCTCCCCCCCCCCCCCCCCCCAATGATAGGGTGTAATATGCACGTTCGTCATATTTTGTTATGGAAATAGGTCGCCGGGATTATGAGTTACGTACACAAGGAAGGTCGTGAGTGTTTTATGTGAGACTCTTTCGGAGTGGAGATGAAAACAAAACATAGATAAGCATATACGGGTATGATATTTATATCGACCCACACACAATGCATATGCCTAGATTTCAAGGTTCAAGTTTTACGTTTGTTTCACATTTTACAAAAAATATAGGTAGACATATATATAACATAAAAATTATAATATATATATATATATATATATATATATACATGTAGTATGAGCACGTCTAAATGATACTCAATTCATATGATAGATTAAGTAGAATGTGAGGAACCTATTGAAAAGTAGCAGTGCTTGTATATATAGGTTCTTAATAAAATAGACATTGTAGAAAAAACATAGCAGTAGAGAAAGACGTAATTTAGAGGGGGAATTTAAAACACAACGGAATAAGGAATTATATTTGTATGCAAATGCATTAGCACCAATACCCCGCAGAGTCACCTGGTTAAAATACGTAGTCACCTAAGCAATTTAGCAAAGCACCGTTAAACGAAACTTCAAGTGTATATAATTATACAGTAATTAATACATGGAAGGTATAACGTAACTTGGAGAAAACCATAAAGATAAATATTACAGCTTCCCGAGTGAAATGATAATTCAAAGAGTCCAGAATTGGACCGTGTACACCAGGTCGTCCATGAAAAGAGAACGCGAATTATATTAGACAGTATAATTATAATCTAAGAAAAGTGCATAGCAACATGCAATAATTCGTTCATAATTATATACGCATTCAATAGATGCATGCAGAAACAAAGCAATTTGTTTTCATACTACATTAAAAACCGGAACATGCATAATGTATTAACGATAAGATTAGCATTAGAGAAAAAAAAAGGGTAACAAGGACTGCATGGGGAGGGCAAACAAAATATATCAGACATAACAATTAAAAAAGACAACTCAAAGTTTGCGGTTGAAGCAATTTAACGATGGTGCTTCCTTAACCTCCGAATCCAAACCATTTCATAAGAGGAACAGGTATAAATGATTGTTTTTAAGGCAAAAACTGTTCGTATCGGGGGGGGGGGGTGGAAATTGTCTCTTTGTCTTGTGGGATAAGAGTGAATTACGCTGTTTATAGCGAACATGAGAGAGAATATATTGGGCAAATCATCATCCTTACTTAGTTGATACATCAACATTCCTAGGAAATAGTTGTATCAATCAAATACTTTCAGAATACGATTTGCACAAAATAAAACCTTAGTGTGTGCCTGAAAATCAGCCAGATGTATTATTCTTATTGCTCTTTTTTGGATCTTGAAAATCGAAACGATTTTTCTTTTTCAAAATTTCCCCACGCTAGCACCCGTAATTTAAATAAGGGAGTAACATAGTTGAATATATAATTTTTAAGACATGAGATGGAAAATAAGATTTCAACTTATTGATTTCTCCTAGACAAAAGTCTGCATAAATAATCGATTTGAGTATTCCTTTTTAGTTTACAGTCGATAAAAAGATCAATAAATTTAGTGGAATATAATGGGTTAAGGGTATCAGCCATTAACCAAAACTTGTCCTGGTAGCTCAGATAGTGTATTGCTGAAAATCATAAAATTAGTCTTATTCAAATTCAGAGAAAATTTGTTTGCTCGTATCCCTTCAACTACAAATTGCAATAAAAATTCAGGGAATCAAGACGAATTCTAAGGTTGGGATGAGAGCAGCAAATGCTTGAGTCATCTGCAAAGTGTAGAAACGAAAGAACCGTGGATGAGTTTTTGAAGTCATTTATATTATAGATAATAAAAAGAAGCGAGCCTATCACATACCCGCCTCTCTTTGTTCTATCTCTCTCTCTCTCTCTCTCTCTCCCTTCTTTATCTCTCTCTCTCTCTTCTCCCTTCTTTATCTCTCTCTCTCTCTCTCTCTCTCTCCCTTATCTCTCTCTCTCTCTTTCTCTCTCTCTCCTTCTTCTCTCTCTCTCTCTTTCTCTCTCTCCCTTCTTTATCTCTCTCTCTCTCTCTCTCTTCTTTATCTCTCTCTCTCTCTCTTCTTTATCTCTCTCTCTCTCTCTCCCTTCTTATCTCTCTCTCTCTTTCTCTCTCTCTTTCTCTCTCTCTCTCTTTCTCTTTCTCTCTACCCCTTCTTATCTACATTGTATATCTGCCCCTCACTGTCTCTATTTTCTTCTCCGCTATTACCCTATTATGCCTAATCTATTTTAATTTATAATTCAATTTTTCTGTCGTCCTCTCGATCTTTCTTCCTTTCCCCCTGTCTCACACAGTCCCTCTTTTCAAGTAATGTGCGTTCGGTGAAAAGTAAGACTTCTGTTTTCTTATTATTGAAAAATCAATAACTTTATAGCGTTGGTATACTGTTAGATTTTATCCACGTCATCAATAAAGAAACATTTTGCGTTGCGGCAAGTCCGTTCAGAGATATGGTGACTTATTCTAGAAATTCGCATAAAAATGCGACATGTAGATGCTTTACGAGGATAGCCAGGGTATTTATGAATGAAAAGAAATTCAACAATGATTTGCATTTTGAGGATAATTTTGTTTTATTCTTTCATGATAATATTATAGCCTATTTCGCGCACCCCGGAGAGCAATCTATCTTTAATAAGCATTTACTTTCTTGCCAACATTAATAATGATGCCAACAAAGACCAATGGAAAATAATCTGAACTCGAAACACAGACCAAGAACGTTGAAGTTGTGAGACACTGTAGAGCAAGCTTTATTAACGCCCATCAGAGGCGCGGACACCGGCGCTGTACAAGAACCCATATCATCATTATCTTCATCATCATCATCATCATCATAATCTTCAGTGATTTTATTGAACGATACTCGATCTATACAGCAAAATGTGGTTGTAATTTTGGTGGAGCTCCGAGGAGAGGGGGCACTTGGCTTGCCCCTCCTTTAAAAGACGCCATTGTTTACAAACAAATAATTACACAATGAACAATTAGTGGAGATTTCCAAAGGAGGGCACTGTGATAAAAGGAATGAAGTAAATCATCATTTAGACAAACATACAACAGATAAACTGTTTTTGTTCTATTAAACTTGGACCATCTTTATTGTAAGCGCCTAGAAAATATTTAAACAAAATCTATATGATCTATAATTAGCAAAGAAGCCAGAACTAAAACAAGACAGAAAAATACATACCCTGGTAAATGACGTCATTATTCAAAATGTGGTTAGATATTTTGTCTCCAAAATCTCACAGAAAGTTGCCGTAAGTTGAGTCAATTCACAACTCCTCTTTTATTGCTTATTAAAAGCCTGGATGGACGAAGAACGATTTTGAGCCGAGGCCGCAGAAGACTTCGAATAAGAAAGAGCTTCTTTTGCGGAAGACAGGGTTTTATATAAACATGGGATCTCCGTATTCCTATCTAAGGCGTTCTGTCATGACTGTAGAATGATTTTAACTTGGGGAATAATAATGAGAAAGTACAGCCCAACCTGAGAGATTGCCGCTGACACGAGAAGGTATTGAAAACCCTGCAAGGGAGGTGAGAAGAATCAATAGCAGCCTCCTAACAAACTTTGGACCAACCATGGGAGGGGCGAAATCTTTAGAATATGGGGACAAGAAGGGAAATTGTAAAAACTATAATATATCTCAGGGCGCCAAGGTTATTGTCATAATATACAACTCAAAATACGGGCTTAACCATTTGATACAATTTGAATCAATTTTTCATTTTATTCAAGGGGTTAAGATAGAA